TCACAGCTTTTGACCGTGACGTTAAATCCTGTATTTTAACTACTGGTATCTTACGATTAGTTTTTAATTTAACAGAGTCCTGGGAGTCAAGCGAATGACTCACAACAATGTCAGACGAAACTTTACTATGGGACTTTGGCGGATTGGCCTGAGAGTCCACCAAGGACTTACCAAGTAAACAGTCATTAGTTTTAGCTATCTTTCCTACTCTTCTGCGTTTTCGCGTCATCCATTTTCCATCAGTCGAAACGTCTACATTAGAACAAATCGGGACAGTAATTGTTTTATCTGGGTCACCGGTTGCTGCTGTAGCAATATGGCCACCAACGTCTAATGACGTGTCACTCACTGAACGTTTCGGGGGCGAACGTTTAACTGCGGGTTGCACAGGTAGATGCCTGGCTTGCGCCGTGATAGCACTTACGACACTAACGCAATCTTCGCCATCAGTACCAATGTTATCAGTACAGCCTTCATCAACCTTCTTATTAGCCAACACCAGGAGACTAATTGCTTCCTGGATAAGCAATGTTTTGCTTGAGCAACAAAAACTACAAAGCCAGTGAGAGTTGGGCTTTGAACACCTTTTATATGCAGTGGGGCTTAGTCGGGTGCACATCTTATGGAACCACTTATTACACTCAACACATTGCATCCCTTCCTCCACGGGAAATAAGCAGTATGGTTGTCCACATTTATGAGTAGACTTAGCCATCGTGAAATTCAACTCAAACGGTGATAAAAAACAGGATATGTAAAGGGATTTTCAAACCTTAATTAAAAAACCAAGTAAAAGTCGACCAAGTATCCTTCGATGCAATAAATACACAGAAGCAAAATCGAAAAACTCAATACAATATCACTTTAACTGGGGTAGATGCAATTAAAGTGTAAACAGTAGTTTTGATGCGTAGTTTACGATCAAAACAGTTAATTAACTCAACGAGAAAGAATACCACTGTCCTTTTAAATAGAGCGCGCGTTTTTATGTATTTCCATTTTGTATCTTATTATTTTTATGCAGGCAGTGGAGCAGTTCTTTAGGCTTGATTGGTTTTCACCATTACCTTTGAAGTAGATTCTTCTTTACTTTTTACTTGAGGACGACTCAAGAGGCAGGTGAGTAAACACCTGATAGCCGGTCTGAGCATGGAAAAATCGTACCTCACCAACATGGTGTTGGGTAGCCCGCTCGCGGCACTTCCTCAGATATTCTTATTCCACAGTCTCACACTCTTTCTCATGAAAGCACGCAGCAAACCATCAGCGATAGTTGTAGAAGAAATCACATGCTACAAAATAAGATGACAAGCTAGTAAATGAAGAGACATCCATGGACTACCGTTGACAGCGTTATTTGCCACTGATTGTAAGTCAAACATTGAGCGAGTTGATAATTTTCCCTTGAGATGAGAAATAGAACTAAGGTGTTTTTGAAAGATAGGTTAATCGAACCGACGTTCCTACGGAAGTCGATTCTAGGGGGAAGCTAATGTAACAGCATAGGTTGGTTGGTTAAGAGTTGACCCCAAACAACCAAGCATATGTCAAAACAGTATTGTTCAAGTATTCATTCACTTCCTTATTTTTTATAAGCGTTATATTCTTTATTATCTTATATTGAATGTTGAAAGCTTTTGTTTGTCGGAACAGATAATCCCACGCTCCACTGTGACTGCGCTAAGATCGAAATAAAGACGTACTCACTATTTCTCTGGTTTCTTCTATCAATAGTACGAGGGTTACCTATAGGCACGAAAGGTTAACCATTGTTCGTCTCAATCTGCATTTGTTGTTACGTTTGCGATAGAGGAGCCAGATCATCTGAGAAGTCTGGATGATTCAGTTGCATCCAAGCTGTGCACTGTATCCCGTGTTTCCCTTCAGATGTTGACGTCTTCATGATCCAGTCGATCACCAGGAATGTTGGGGACGTTAGACCCACAGAACTCACTTGGGAAAGGACCTGGTTTTGTGATTTTGTTTCGAAAATTTGAGTTCCTATGCTTCCGAGCCGAAGGCGCTCTCGTCATTTTCATGTCGTATTTCCCACTGGGAAATATCTTAAATGCTTTTGGTCCGTTACGTCTTCTAGCAAGCTATTTGGTAACTCTCCCCAATGACGGTGTTGTACTGTATATATACGCTTTGAATTGTGTTTTTTGTTATCTCTCATTTCTGGTTCTTTACAGAATATTCTTCGCCATTCCAAGCTTGAACTTCTTCCTCTAGTTAGCGGGGCTGGGACGCATCAATAACTAGCTTACTGGTTTTGGTCACCGAGTCTTGTTTCACGTCCGCAGATTAAATGAACTCGTGATAGCTTCAAGAATTCAAGATATCCCTCAGCAATAAATTCCAGTCCTTTCATGATCTACTCCCTTTCCAGTTGCACTCTATAGAAGTTCCTTCTCCATTGAGTAGATCATGAAAGGACTGGAATTTATTGCTGAGGGCTATCTTGAATTTGTCACAATCCCGAAGTAAAGCCATATTGAAGGATAAATCGTGTACAGACCAAATCGCAACTCTACGGATCATTGTGATTCAATCAATTGAATGGAATTCATCACTCTACATCAACTTCATTGACTACTAAAAAGCATTTGATGGCGTAGATAGAACATCACAATGGAAGCTTATTCGATAATACGACGTGCCTCAGAAGATAGTCAATATCACACATAATTCCTATGATGGATTACACTGCAAAATCATGCATGGAGGAGAGGTCACAGACTCGTTCGAAGTAAAGACCGGTGTTAGGCATGGTTGCTTACTCCCACCCTCTCATCGTATCGTAACAATTAACAATTTAATGTCTAGAGTTTCTAAAGAACACATCTAGGCTAAAGATACAGTGATATATCTAATGTAAAATATACAGCATGACTGCGTTCGCGAGACTGGGCTATAACATCCGATTGAATTCAATTCATTTCTTCCCCATTGTTGGTCTTCTCTCCGTGTCAAATGTCGAATATTTATTTTCTCAATTATCTCATGTTCAGCTTTGAGGATTGTGTGGTTAAGGCCCAATGCCACTACGATTACACAGGCTGGATTAACGAGTTGTTAGTTGCTATGTCTCTTCTCTCCGATTTATTAGGCGGACTGATTCACGCGTCTTTATATGCTCTTGACATTTCAGACTGCTGCAAAGTCAATTCTAACAGTATGGCAGAGATTCAGCGGACACATCCGTCAGAGCCTTCACAATCTTATGATAAATACCCTACGTCAAACAATTACCAAGACTGCTTAAGTTATCGGAGTTTCTGTTTGCAGATGGTGTCACAGTCGGAAGAACAATAGATAGTGAAAAAGCTCATATCCATCTCCAAGCCGGATTAAATGATTTAGTCTGGCGCTCCTAGAGTTGGAGATTCTAGATTAATTGTAGAAGGAATGCACCAATGTACATTAGGCATGGTAACATTCATGAGTATACATTCAGTAGTACATTGGTTCCACAGGCTCAGGAAGAACATAAATAGGAGTGGTTTTGATTCATGGTTTGTCAACAGCTGTGACTTAAAATGTATTATTTGCCAAATATTTTTGAAGGATGTCGTCAATTCGTTGAGCATCTGAATTTTGCGCCCTACCTTTGTGAGATGTGAGAAGCTAGTCTATTCCACATTGAGGATGACAGCACACTCAATTGTGTTCAACGTGTGCAAACTAAGTGACTGATAGGTATTCCTATATCCTCCACTAATGAGTGATTAAGAGTGAAGATTCCACAGGTAATGGAAATTTGAAAACGCCTTTACACGCAATACTTTTATGATCGAGTATACGATATGTTGAGAAGCGTTTGATCTTAGCTGGCTAGCATTTACAATGGATGAGTAGAACGATATACCCACTCGTGATCTGGTGCGATGGCATGATCAACAACCTACGACTAGGTCAGTCAGCATCAATGTCGAGAGTGGACAGAACAGTTTGTTTCAGGGATTTGTTTACCGCTATAAAATGTTTAAACTTCTTTCCTTCATCTTAGGACGCGAGATGACTTTATACTGGCATTCCGCATCTATAATAACGATCTGTATGTTAAACTGTCTAATCTTTACGTCCCCTCTAGGACTAGTTCTCTCTGAAGCCACACTAATAAAATCTAAAACCACTATCAAATAAACTAGGAGTGGGATCCCATTTCAAAATGACTGGAGCACCCTACCACAGTACATCGCAATAACTACACCAGTGAATATTTTTAAGGAGAAGCTGCGTATCTACTAGATAGTAAATTGGAAAACCTAACTCAGATCGATCAATTTACTATCCATATTACCGAAGACTGATCTTTCTATTTCTTCAAGAGGAGAATTGATATATTCTCAAGAATTAAAGACTGTATTTCGTAACAGTTTGTTAATAATTCTTTTTTGCTTGTATCAAACAACTATGTGTTTTCCTGGAAGCATTATTGATCGATTTTTAATACACATGACAACCCCTAGAGTGAAAGTATTTTTACTCGGTCCAGAAACAAAACTAAGAGGTAATACCCTAAAAGTGGAAACACAACTCAACAGAACGAATTATAGACATATCTAATACACTTTAAGAGTAGCCAAGTGCTGGAAATACACTAACGGCTACGCTGGTCCAAACGACTTCCCAGGAGTCCTTTAAATGAAAACTTGATATATTCTCAAGGACTTAGGATAGTATCTTACTATCTTTTTGGCAATATACCCATGTTCTTGCCTGGGGGTATTGATGATTCACAGCTATTGAACACAGAAGCCCGTTAAGCGAAAACTTCTAGTCGTTCACAACCACTTGGACCATTCGAAGTCCAATACTAAAAGAAGTAAGATGGTTAGTTTGACCAAATCTAAACAAACTATAAGCTTTCAAAAGCATACTAGGGAAACATAAGTTATTATCATTCCATCTTTCAATCACAGTGTTTGAAAATCTAGGATTTTAAGTGCGATGTACAACTTTAGGGATGGCACTAATTCAAAGTCAAGGACATTTCGATGTGTCCAGCCATAAATCCAGATTTGTCATTTCCGAGTATCGTATGTTTATACTTGCACATACTTTACCATTTCAGAAATCAAATCATGGGGTAGCGTTGTTGGACCGATTGACGAAGAGTGTACTTGGAATTCCTGCTCCTGAAACTGAGTTAAAACCTCAAAAGTTAAAAGAACATTTTGAGGGTGCGTTGTACGAACTGTTTTTACTCAAGTCAAGGCTGCAAGAAAAATGTTCCCAGATGGAGGTTAGTTTTTTTAGAAATGGTGTCTAATTTTGTATTTGTTGATCAGATGGTTACTTACGTACCTACGTCAGTTACCTTTCACAAGAGCGTAGGCCTACGACCAAGGTTCTTTAACCAACCTTGTACCTAGTTGCTGTTCATTCTCTTGATGTGTGCTACCGATTCCCGACGCACTGTGTTTTTCGGGTCCTCTTTTCCTTTTGCCTTAAGGATTCGAAGTAAGGACCAACCTCATGATATATTTTGATGATTTATGCGATGCGTGTCCTATCCGCCTCCTAATTTCATCTTCATCTGGAAGTTGGTTTGTTTTCTGTCGAAATAGGTTGTTGCTGATGTTATCCGACCAACAGATCTAGAGTATGTTGCATAGATAATTGTGCATAAATACCTGTACTTTTCTGATAATGGTTGTAGTAGTTCTCTACGTTCCAGCTCCGTACAACAAAACTTTTTTAACGTTCTTGATGAACATGACCACTGGTTGGGTTCAAATATATGGTTTCCTAGCTTAACATAAAGTATATTCAGAGGTTGTTAATTTAAAAGGTTACTTAATGTGACTAGTTGAATATTTCGTGGTATTTGAAATGCATTGTAGGATGTTCAGCGCCTCCATTTTCCTTGCTGACTTCCTAGTGTGCTTAAAATTTATGTGTAAGCTTTGGGAATTTTGACCAGATTCAGATGTTTCAAAACGTTTTAATTTTTTAGTTGTCACGTTTTAATACAGATGAACATCATGTGGCCTTGGTTAGATCTAAACGTTGTCATGAAATGTGGTCAACATTAACTAATTAAGACCAATCGTACAACTGATCTCATAAGTAGTAACAACTGAAATAGTCGTCCCTGAAATCTAAAGATTGTTGGGGTCAGATCTGAACACTGATTACGTTAGGGAATTTCATTTAATTCTATAATCAATTATCTGTTTACGGACATGTTAACCTCCCATAGTAGTATATTGGCTGTACGCATTACTACTTAAGGGTTCCCAGTTTTAAGTTCAAGCATCATCTTTTCTCTAACACTTCCATTTTTAGTCTTAACTAATAAAAGCCTTGTATGTGTTAGGAACTTTCATCTGCTTTTGCAACCTCAAGTGGTATCCGTCAAGGCTGCCCACTTTCTACATTTTTGTTCAACTTCATCACAGATCTACTGATGGAAATAACGCTCTCATCGACAGAATTCTCGGGCATTGATCTCCATCCAGGAGGTCTACTTATCGACTTAGAATACGCAGATGACATAGTCCTGTTTGGTGAAGTCGCTGATAAAATGCAGAGTCTTTTGGTAGCACTGAGCAACAATGCCAGAATGTTTGGAATGCGCTTCTCCACCTCTAAGTGCAAGTTGTTACTTCAGGACTGGCCTGCGTCAACACCTGAACTAAGGATAGGGAGTGAAGTAGTCGAACGCGTTGACAACTTCACTTATCTTGGAAGTCCGATCAGCCCTAATGGGTTGGTGTCTGACGAAATCTCAGCACGGATTCGTAAAGCTCGTTTGGCTTTTGCCAACTTATGTCACCTATGGTGAAGGCGAGGTATCCGTCTGTCAATTAAGGGACGAGTGTACTGTGCAGCAATCCGTTCTGTTCTACGTCTGCGAAACGTAGTCAATAAAAGTAGAAAATATCGTGAGTTACTAGTATTTGGTCGCAGATGCCTTATAAGTATTGCCAGCATCTGCTGGGATCACCGGTTAAGTAATAGTGAGGTTAGATGTAAGGTATTATAAGATGGTGGTAAATCATTCGATGAGGTTGTTAATCTTCATCGACTGAAATGGTTGGGCCACGTGTTACGTATGCTGATTAGTGTTGGGGATGGTTGGAAGAAAGTTGGTGGCGGCCAAACCAAAACGTGGCATCAGTGTCTTAAGTCACTAACATGTGGTCTGAGCCATGTTGTTAGATGCAGACTACGTGGTTGGGATCCGCACGACTATCGTGACCAATGGATGGAGACTCTCGGTTACATGGCTCAGAATCGATCACAATTGCGTCGGTGTATACACTGTTTGTTTTCCCTTAAACAATAAGATTAAAATCGCCTCATATCTTTCTTTCTACGAACTAGTTCTTTTTTCCTGTACTATATCCTTATATGCGATCTTTCTTTTATATATTACCACCACTACTTTGATGAATTGGGTGTTCATCTTGTTGTGTTAATGAGGTATGGCAACTTGGACCGATGCATATATGTGTCTAGTCTTACGCTACAGCCGACTGACTGATGTGTCGGGAAACTTAACCCAAGTCGATTTTTAGTAATTGTCATGACTTTATGTCCGGCTTTTTATCACGTGATTTATCCACCGACCAAAGTACGACTTATAAAATTTTAGCACTGTGCCAAAACCATTGACGTGCCACCGGTATGGGCAGCCTAGCGTCTTATTTGGTCCTGTCTGCCCAGCCCGTCCACTTGAGTCCAGAACACTAATGCCAGCATGCAATATGCAAATCGAATCGAATCTTTTATTTCGGACACAATGTATTTATATATATCAACCAAACAGATCGCAACGCACCGTATGATAAGAAATAATATTTGTACACAATAAAGCCAAAAAGTGGCTGTGAACGCGGGAGGCATTAGTTAATAAACTGAACATAGCTTAAGAACAGTAAATCTTACAATAATAAATTATAGGTCAAAATAAAGCTTATAACAAAGGGAATATAGATATACATTATCTAGTTACCGGATATTTATACCATGAGAATATATAAATAATAATAGTCCATTAATAAGTCTCAGACGTTACTTGTAATGTTATCTTTACTAGGATATAACAGTAATCGCTCCAGAATTTTTACTCCATGACAATACATGTCGACCAAATATTACCTGAGACTGGTTACATAACCTTCTTGTTAGTAGTTATTTTCGATTTCACAGTGTGTTTTGTAGATTTAAAACCTGACAAATAGCACATGAAGTTTTGTGTTGTTTCCAAATCTGCTCTCTTCCAACCTCTGTGTGTAAAAAAAATAGTGTCTGGAAATGCTCATTAGAGAGAGATAGAGAAAGCTTACTCTCCAATAACTGGTGCTGTCAATTTACCACCTTGCCCAGGTAACTATATGGTCCTACTAATTAGATTGCATCAGGCTGTTCACCCTCTTAGATGGCAACTATCTTTTAAACCTGTCGAAATGTTAAGCTATTGAAGATATTCTCGATAGCAACTGCTGTCAGACCTTAATAGTTAACGTTAATTGGCAGCAACCAACATATATATATATATATATATATATATATATATATATATATATATATATATATATATATATATATATATATATATATATTGATACATCAGTTGTACATTCGTCACTTCCTCAAACAAAATCTGAAGTTGTTAGCAGGTAATCTTTATCGGTATGGATATGAGGTTAGTCGATCTGTGTTTATTTTCTTGATTTGCAATACTATAAAAAATCCCATTCTAAGTGTATCAAGGGAAGCTACTGATATAACCTGTTCTAGTATAGAATTCCAGTAATTAATAACATAATGAGTACAAGATCATTCTCTCAGTTCTATGTAACATGGTTCAATCGTGACCGCGATTCTGCAAATATATTCATATATTGTTTTACTTCCAACCTCCATCCTACATTTACTTTACATTTTCCACTCATTCGTTTGTTTGTCCACTTTATCTTTCCCGCATCTCGTTCATTTCCTGTGATCTGATACTTTAAAGCATACTCGTTCAAAAAGTTTTGTGTCCCTATGCTGAAATATTATGGATATGTCTTATTGTATATTATGAGACTAAAAGGTTTCTGAATCAGGTAATTATCATCTTAAGTCAGTCAGTAACAACGTAGAACTTCGTACGTACGTACATCAGTTCGAGTTGCCACACCACCTTAACACAGAGATGCAGTTGTCGATCCAAATCCCGTAGTGGTAGAGGTAGCAAGAGTGTAAGCAGTGATCGGGAAGATTAGGGTTTGGAGATGTTATTTAAAGAGTATAATTCAGTGAAATACCACTGAACATCGCACGTCGAGGCAGTCGGTCGTTGGGCATACGTAACACGTGTCCCAGCCATCTCAACTGATGAAGTTTCACTACTTCATCAATTGATTTGCCATCATTACCTAGTACCCGTTTCCTAACAACTACATTACTTACTCGATGGTCCCATGATATATGAGCAATGTTTCGAAGACACCTATGATCGAATACTAGTAACCTACGAATATCCTCTACTCTTACCGGCCATGTTTCACTGCCATAAAGTAGGACGGGACGAACTGCTGCGCAGTAAACACGTCCTTTGGTTGATAGACGGATATCTCGCCTACGCCATAAATGACGCAAGTTGGCAAAAGCTAGTCGAGCCTTCTGTATCCGTGCTGAGATTTCGTCACACACCAGACCACAAGGGCTGATGAGACTTCCAAGATAAGTGAAGCGGTCAACACACTCAACTACTTCACTCCCTATCACTAGTTCGGGTGTCGATGTAACCCAATCCTGAAGCAACATTTTGCATTTCGAGGGAGAGAATCGCATCCCGAACATGCTTGCATTGTTGCTTAGAGTGGTCAGAAGACTCTGCATTTTGTCAGCGTCTTCACCAAATAAAACTATGTCATCAGCATATTCTAAGTCAACAAGTGAACCTCCCGGTAGAAGTTCAACCCCTGGAAATTTAGATGAGGAGAGTGTTATCTCTAAAAGTGCGTCGACCACAAAGTTGAACAAGAATGGGGAGAGTGGACAGCCCTGACGAACACCACTTGAGGTAATCAATTCTGATGACAGTTCGCCATAGGCTCTCACTCTACCAGTTGTGTTCGAGTAGATAGCCTGAATAAGGTTTAATGTACTTCTTTGGTACTCCTTTCAGTGACAAACATTGCCATAGAACCTCACGATCAACAGAGTCGAATGCCGCCTTAAGGTCGGGAAATACTACCATTGTGGGACGTCTGAATGTGTGTCTGTGTTCTAGAACCTGACGTAGTGTGAATATTTGGTCTATACAACCACGTCCAGGTCGAAAACCATCTTAAAGTGATAATAGATTGTAACCTCTAGCAATATCATTCGTTTTTGACTTAGGAAAACTAAGGATTAGACTAAGTGGAAATAACGATCAATTTCACTGCTTATAACTTCCACGTACTTCTTATGGAAAGTATTATCATAATTATTTAGGTTTTCTGAACTTTCACAACACAGGTAAAATGTCGAGAGGATGAGCGATCATTTCATTATGCTATCGAAAGGTTAAAAAAGGATTTAACTGATCTTAGTCAGCAATTCTGCAAGTTAGATACTGAAGTTCATATGGTATCTGGAAAGTTGGTCCATTTAGGCGACCAGTTAGAAAGAAAAAACTTGCCAAGAAAGCGAATCGAAGAGGCACGTGATTTGATACTTGAATTTTATAAATTCTGGGGTTTTGGCGGAGGAAGTGTCACCAATGTAGTAAGCGCTCAATCGGATGAAGCTCAGGTAAGTTACCTTTTGATATAACCTGAAGAATAACCCTTGTTATATTATGTGAATCAAATTGTCCGGAAATATTTTTCTTATATTTTCTAATAGTCAGAATATCCTATTTTCTCCATATGAGATGCTTAAAATTCACAATCAAAGTAGCATACTTCAATGTACTTTGTTGTACAAATAATTATTTCTTTTAAAAAGAGTGAAAAAAGTTCGAGCAGATTGACATGAATCCATTTTATTTCGTCTAGTTCTCGTCAGCTACTTACAACCTATTATATTTATCTTCTAGATTAGTGGGTTTTTTTTATAGCTAATCTGACTTTACTTATTTTATTCCTACTTATTAAAGTTTACTCATCATATAATTACTTGTTTTTAACCCTGTAGACTTTTGTTACTACCGATCTTATTGAAACTTCTTTTAAGTAGGATATGTATTTACAACATTTTATTTTGTCTGTTAAATTCACGTACACTCTTGCTATACCATACTGATGTGTGATCATATCAACTTATTAAACTCCTTCACGTACACACTAATTCAGCAGATAAATAAACTTTTCGGTTATTGATTGTTTCTGGCCGAATTATTAGCAAACACTGCATATACTGAAATTCATCTGTTCTGAACCATGTTTCCTTTTGTTATGAAGGCTCAGATGAAATTTTAAGACTATATTTTACCCTGCAAGGACGATTTCGACTTTTCTTTTGTGCTATGTGCTAACCATGGAGCATTGGTTACTTTCGAAAAACGGTGGTTTTCTTTTATTCGCTCCTTATATTCCTGTATGAAGTTTTTAAAGTGAATTAGTGATTTATTTTTCATAGTACTTTAAAATGCACTTAGAAGTAGTATACATGACTATAGATCCAGATATTTAATTATGGCTGTGAATGCTAAATTAAAGTTATCTTTGTACAATCGTGTGTATCTGTTGAAGCTGTTTTACTTTATTATGTTGTATAATATTAAGTCGTTATTGCTTATGTTCCACCATCTAGCTCTCTAGAAATATTATATTTTTGATTGCTCTGTGCATCTACCCATTCTGATATTAACACCTTAAGCTACTTCAACTTTGAAAAAAATCAAAATAGAAGTAACTTGTTTTTAAAAAATATCTCTAAAGTACTTGCAACAGATCTTTTAGACATAGAAGAAAAAATTGCTTGCTGAAGTGCTTAAACGTGGGGATATAAAACTAACTTTTGTTCTGGTTGCAATTTACTCTTGAAAAAAGACTCTTCAATAGAGAGGAATTCATATTTGTTAGTAGTAATTTCTGTTCAATTATATAAGCTTTGAGTAACGTTTCATATTATAAAAGTTACCTTCTGAATCTGTTGTAAAAGTGCTTTGCACGTGGCACATGCTACATAGTGCACTTTAAAAACAGATTGAATATTAATGTTTAGATGTTTATTGTAAGAAGTATATGTTGCAGCCAAGGGCTCTCAAAAGGCTTCGTGTCGTATCACGTTGGTAGTGATTTTGAAAAAAGATTTCGTAATTGATCGTGAAACTGCATCATTCAAGTTTCATAGCCTTGTATAAGGTGCTATCTTATTCATTGTATGTGTTAATCGTCCTAGAATCGACACAATTTATTTGCTACTTTTCACCGACAGTTAAAACTTGTATCTCAACCCATTTTACTAGTCATTGGCAGACACTTAATTTCCGAATTAGTATTTTCGTATTTGTCAGTTTTTACTCAATCAAGACTTAGTCTGTATATGTCTAACGACAGTTTAGAGAAATATGATGAATTTATATTCTTCTAACCGTCCTTTGTTCAATTTTGGGAAGGGAACCAGGTGCTCATAAATAAGTATTAATTGGATTTTGTAATGATAATAGGGAAAATATTTATGTGCCAAACGCTTGTATAAAATTAAGCTGTTAAGACAGCTCGTTATTACTAAACTTGGTAGAAGATTGGTTACAGTTATCAATCCTGAATGAAAGTGAATTTCATTTTTCTTTAAAAGATATGATGACAAGATGAAATTTCTAGTATGCACTTTTTAAATACTCATACTCATGCTTAAACTTCAAATCTTATTTAGTGCTTAAATTTTATGCATTGTAAGGTTTAGCGTATCTGAAAAAAAGTTAGTGAACGAGTTTTTCACCTTACTTTCTTAGCTACTTGAGGCCGCTACTCGGTTCAAAAATCTGAGTTCGTTGTGCTTGGAGTTACCGGATGATGAACGTTTCTTAAATGCAAAACAAAGAGTAACAGGTTTGTCCTTTTTACTGGATTTCTAACGTAATTAATTTCAGTCGCCTGTCAACACTTGGATACAGCTTTACTTGAACGATTTAGAGCAAATTTCCTTACAGGCAATATTGAGACAATGAAGAGCATAGCAGATGTACTTCTTCTTTCCAAAAACTACTCTCAATGTGCTGAGATCTTGGTTGAAGAAACAGTAAAGGTAAATTTATTTTATACACTTTTTTCGAAACATCAGTTTCTCTGTTGGACTGTTTACGTTTATAGCTTAAAAATGTGTAGTTTCTACAAAGTTTCGGCAAGAAAGCTTGAGGATCAGTACATTTATTATCGAATTTCTGGAAATAGGATTACCGACTATACTGGGTTGAACCGGCAGTATAATGTTTCTCACAGGTAATCAGAATGTTGAAAAGTGCTTCTTTTCTGTTTTTAAGATGAATCAGATGTCTTCAAACACACAAATGTGCTCACTTCACTGTGTTCCAGTTAGTCATCATCATCAGAGTCTGAAATAAGTGTTCATCACCCGAAGTTTCCATACCATATTAGCTCAACGAGATGAACTTCACAAGATGAATAGAAGAAAAATACTGAAATGATGTAGTAGCAATGATAATAAAAAAAGTTCACACTGGGATCAGAAAACCTTGAAATTTCACTTTCTTTACGTTCCACTAAAAATGAGGCCTCTGAAAAGATCTTTGAGTAAAAGGTCAATATGCAATATCTATAACTAGTTTTTATTGAGTAGGAAAAGTCGAATTGCTTTTATTTCTCCAATTTAAATGTCTATTTTCTATACGTTATGGTCCCATAGTCATTATCTACTAATTTGTATATTCTTATCACAACTTTCGTACATTTCTTTCATTCTTTTTATTGTTAACAGACAATAGATCCCAAACAGATTCATTTTAAAGATATTACAAGGTGCTTGGTTTCGAGTGAAAAGCTAATTATGACCTTATTTTTACGACCAGATTCAGTTCTGATGCAACTAATGCATAGTCTTTTCACAACAAAATTAAAAGTACGTCAAATAAATGGCAGTTATACATTACCTAACATTATCGTTGATAGTACACTCCTGGAAACTCGGTTTATGTTTGAACTTCATTGTCATGTGATTTGTTTTAATCACTTTTATTTTCAGTATTCTTTCACTAATTTCCAACCAACTCTGATGTTTGAAGATTTGATACTACGTACTGAGTAACTGGTTTATATAACTAACAATTTTTTTTATGTCTCGTTGCAGTTTGGATGCTCTTATTGAAAATACCTTAATGACTAAATAAATTATATGCGTATGAATACTGCAAAAGAATTTTTTTTCTTGTTGGATTATACTTTTATTGATAAAGGTCGAAATCCGAATTTTTCTAACTAGATGCCAGTGTTGTACTGAAAGTTGATCTTCTGTCGGTTTATAAAGTGTTTTTTCGTCTACTCTTGTCAATAGATTATATAGTTTTAAGGCTTAATAGCGTCAACATCATACCATAAAACCCTATTATTACGAAATGATTAGGTTATTCGGTCTAAGAGATCTAGTAAGCTATGAAATTAGGCACTACATGGTTTGGTGACATGGGTACATTCAAATAGTATTCCACAAACTAGATTGGGGAAGACTCCATGTTTAACATTTTGATGCATTTCTTGAATTACATTAATAATTAAATAGTTTGAAATAAAACATGCATATGATCAAACACTTGATCGAGTTATGTTTTAATATATGAAAAAAGAATGTAAAATTATTTCGAATTAGATGTTCCTGTCAATAGACAAAATGATTCCATAAGCTAACATTTTCTCAGGCACATTTCTTTCTGGAATGAATTCAAAGAATGCTTTTGAGTTTTCAGAATAGTGGTCAGTCGTTCACATAATAATATAGGCTCTGATAAATACATTTGATCCAAAAGACTTACATACTTACGCCTGTTACTCCTAACGGACCATGGGCCTCTGACCAGCATTCTCCAACCCACTCTGTCCTAAGCATTCCTTTCCAGTTCTATCCAATTTTTGTCCATTTTTCTAATATCTGTCTCCATTTCCCAGCGTAACGTGTTATTTGGTCTTCCTCTCCTCCTTCGGCCTTCAGGATTCTATGTGAGAGCTTGCCTTGTGACGTAGTTGGGTTCTTTCCTAAATCTGTGTCCTATCCACTTCCAGTACTTCTTCCTAATTTTTTCCTCCTCTGGAATCTGGTTTGTTCTCTCCCACAGTAGGTTGTTGCTGATGATGTCTGACCAACGGATCGAAAGAATTTTGCATAGGTAACTGTTAATAAATACTTGTATCTTCTGGATGATGGCTTTTGTAATTCTCCAGGTTTCCGCCCCATACAGTAGAACTGTTTTGATATTTGTATTGAAAATCCTGACCTTGGTGTTGGTTGACAGTTGTTTTGAGCTCCAGATTTTTTTAAATTGTAAATATGCTGCTCTTACTTTTCCGATCCGTGCCTTCACATCTGCATCAGATCCACCGTGTTCATCAATGATGTTGCCCATGCCCAACCTTCCTCCTTTATCCGGGCTTGGGGTCGGCGGTATCCCCAGAAGGGCTCCAGGTGGAGTTCACTCAACTTACTACGAATTTATTTTCAATTCAACCAGAACAATATAATCGAATGATCGTTTGACATGCCCTAAACACAACCAAGTTACACCAATCAGTTTGGGCACACAAGTTCATTGATTGCCTTGCGTCTCTTAATTACGAAATGATGCGTAATTTTAACACTGCTCCACCTCACATGATCAACACTTCGAAGACATATAATGTACTATTATCATATAGTTTTGGAGATAAACCTTTTGTGTATATAACAGTTGGCAAGCAAAGTTGATCCGGGTGCTTTGTGCATATCCTATGTAATTTTACTAAGCTTATATTTTATCTTTTATGACTGCTTCATATTAACTAAGTTCGCTAACACTTTACTGTATGTTTCAAAACGACCAACATCCCACGCGAGATTTCAATCCGTTTTCTCAAATTATCAATCAGTGGCATAAATGTCAGGCTGTTATGTGTTATTCAAACTCTAAAATACAAGACCATAACGCGTAAATTATAAATCATATTATGTACAAAACTGAGACATTTATTATACAAATAATAGGTTCATAACTGATTAGCAGTAATCTATGGATGGAAAAAGACAATAACAACTATGAATGAGACAAATAGAAGCTTATAATTAAGAGAATATAAAATTACCGTAAATCAGTCGTTTAACAAATGCACAGTAAAAAATATATTCTAAACACCCAGAGAATGGCTCCAAGAGTCTCGTATTTCATACTTATTTTCCTCGTCACAGAACTTTCTAAGCATATAATTTGTTTGATTTTTCGATTAATTCCAACTTAGGTATACCTGAGTAATCATATGAAGGAAGAATTGAATGCACAGGCATTTTTAACTAATTTGTACAATGAATATCGAAAGTAAGCATATGATTGCAGTTTTACACATATTCTTGTTCAGTAATCTAATATTCATTTGCAATATTGTGTAGAATAATAGTGATTTACTTAGGTGAATCTCAATAGTTTTGAAAGTAGTACTATTTTTAATCTTTGTTAGTGCATGAAAATGCACATTTCATTGAACTTCTCAATGTTTGTTATATATAAGATACAATTATAAAATTTTTAATTCACTTGGTATGGCTTTACTTGAATCTTCCCATTGATGTTTAGGACTGAAATTGATCAGTCTCTCATTGGAATATGTGCATACTGTGCTAAGTGAATAACGCTATGGCGTTTGAAGCGAACGGTACTAGGTTTGAGTCCCAGAGTGAATATTAACTCTGAGATGCAGGTACATCCAGTTGACGAGTCTCAAATAGGACGAAACGCGCGTCCGAGATTCCACTGTTAGTCAATATTCATCTTTGCTTATAAAATTTTTGTTCAAAGCTAATCATCTCTTTTATGTGTTTACGTTTTACGCTTGTAAGTGTCGAATGTTTATCACTGTAAGCCGTTGTAGATTTCAAGTAGACTTTTTTTTATCATGTCATTTATGACGATACTGTTGTCAATGCTTTTAAATATGAGTTCAATACGTACATCTGTTGCTCACTATCTAACCAAATACACAGTTTTCATTGACTAGGTTAGTTAATTAAACATCATTTACACCCTTTTTACCGTCCTCTACTTTCAAAAGAATGAATGTAATTAGTTAACTCAAGCAAATGTTGTCGATTTCACATTTTTTCTCACACATTGCTACTTTTTGGTCAATGGTTTATGTTTTGTTTTCGATGATAAATAAAATTCATTCATCTGTTAATTTATTGTATCTTCTTAAAAATCTAATTGGAGTTTTTTCTTATTTCAACTTTGGCTGTCATACATAAAATTCTGATAGTTTTATGTATCTATTTTTCAAATTTCAGCGTTGAGAAATTGGTTGTTGAGTTAGCTAATGAGTTAACCTTGATTACGGATCCAATGCAACTGTCCAAATTATTTCGGGAATTATTTGCTCCATATTTAGTCGATTATATGAAACGAGAATCTGACTGGTTAACTGAACGCTTAACAGGTCATCTTGAACATTATTATCAAAGTCAAAGGCATCAAAAACGTGCGCTAAATGTTTCTGGGTTAGTTTAAAAGTTTTTCATACACTGTTACAATTTAAAAGTGATTAGCTCTCAATAATAAAATCTTACTGATATAGTAAAGTGAATATTCATAGGTGTTCATCTGGCTTATGAGGAATAATGTACTTATTTCCAGTAACATCAATAAATATTAACTATTCTGTTGTTTTTAGCTTGGCTGAATTTCGACGAGACCTCCAAGCAAAGTTTCATATCACTGGTGGTGATCGATCACAAAATGACTACGATGTATCGTTGTTATCAGAAGAAGTCGCTGTTAATATTATTGAGGATATTCGGCGTGCTGCCAAACGATGCTTGCTGGTAAGATACTGAAACTTAAACTTATTTTAGAAATAAACATACTTAAGATGTAGACAGTAATAACTTATCCATGAATGCTTTTGATAATCTCCAATCTTTTTACATTGGGAATATGTCATTTCGAGAAATAGGTAAAATTTCGTTAAATACTAAACTTTTTAGTATACTTTCATCATATAATGAGAAGCCTTCTTTGGTTTCATTATATTTATGCAGTCTCTTTGTTGAAGATTTATTTACAACTGAAGACTATTTACTTCAAATAAAGTATATGGTATTCTGAATGGATTTACACTTATACGCCAGTTTTTGAAACAATCATCTATTCATCTTTATTTTTCATCATTTACTGTGGCTATGATGCACTTATCCTATGTCTAAAAATACCTACTTATTGTTCCTCAAATCCGTTCTTTCTTCCTCAGTTGTGTTCTCTCTGCTTAATCTTTTCTACTGTAACTGGTGCTCTTACTGCTTCTGTTATCCTGGTACTATATGTCTTGATAATCTCATATGGCTATGCCGATACGGTATTGAAGTTGGGACTAAAGAACATATATGTTAAGTTTCATATTTGTTATGACTGAATGAATTATCATTGGAAAGTATATTTTCTCCTATTTGGTTAATTGTTTATCATTGATATAGAATATTCAGTTTTTATATTAGAACCAATCTTAAAATTGTTATTAAAGTCATTGCATGTATATTTGATGACATTTACCAACTGGTTATTTATGTATGTTGTTGTAGACAAATGATCTAAACTATTGATTATTCTAGGAACGATGAGATTTCCTATTGTTTTACTTTAAAACATTTTTTTCCTAAATTTTTGTAAATGTAACTGTATAGCATTTTTTGTACAGTAAATACTAATTAATGATTGCTTCAATATGTAGTGAAAAACCGATTTGATAATAGCCCATGGATATTAAATTTCTGACAGTATTTTATTAGATGAAGTTTAGGTAAGAGTAGAAATGGTTCTTAACATTTTACGTGAAATATTTAACTGAAAATATAAATATTAAAATCTATTCAATTTATCAGTAAATCCATTGTGAAGTCACTCATCAACCAATCAGCATAAGCCCTTTCATGTTAATAAATAAAGAGGTTATACACTAGTTTGTATTCAATACAAGTATTTAAGTAAATAAAATTTTAAGTTAATTAATTACCATAATACTTCATTTCATACAGTTCACAATGTGTAAAAATAAAACTTTTATAGTTACTACTTTTGAATCTACTTAATTGTTCTATATATATTGTTCAATTGCTCTATAGTTATCCCAACCTACTGCTATTCCAGACAATGGCAAATTCATATTTAATTGTTTGTATCACTATCTAATTGTTGAACACGTGGATTATGGTGTTACTTTAGGTTTGCACGGTAAGTTCATTGCATCAAAATTAAATGTGTTCTTTTTTATACGAAAATTGAAATTTTTGTACTATTTAGTCTGTATATGCTTATAATACAACAATTAGATCTACAGTTAGGTGTTGGAATACTAAGCCATAAATACTATCGATAATATAGAAATGTTATCAATTGGATAATTATATTTAATAGTCATCAATTCGTGTAAATCATTCAGTAATATCATTAGAACAAAACTACAAGGCGGCAATTCACAGGTTTATCATATTATTTAGACGTTGAACAAATATCTCTTCGATTCTGTAGTCATATACTTCGGTTAAAGAATTAACAACCAAATAGGACTTATTATTCATTTATTTTAATGTATTTTTCAGGAAGTGAGCAATTGAAATTGATCATTCTTTAGCATATTTCGAGAAACGTGATAATATATCTGAACCAAAATCTAAACGATACTTTTAAATTTAAATACTTTAATGTAAAACACGTCTTTTGTTTGAGATTGAAGTCTACTACTTTGATGCTTAAACTTTGGTTAATAGAATCGAGTTCAAATTCAAATGACACTGATGATTTAATATCAAGTACATAGGCCCATCAGATGACTAGTATTTGGAACCAAGTTTCCTTTACACTGGATATTTACCCAGTAAGACGAAATACAGCTTCTTATTGACGTATACTTTACAAATTAGCATAGATAACTGAACATAGTTTGTTACACAAAAATAGTGCTTCCCATATTTGAATGACAAGTACTGAATTTATTAAATGAAAAAAAGCTTTATCAAGTCAAGACAAAATTACTGGCTAAACATTTTTCCTTGAAAAAAGTAAAAATGTGATGTTTATGTTGGACGTACTTTGTGTACTAACTGTTCATACAAAACCCAATTTGTGTGTTATCGATTTTAAATAGTAGTGTGAAGAGACAAAGTTGATCAGAAAAATGTGATGTAATTTCATTATATGTATTAAACAATCTGATCCCACTTATACTGATAAAAATATCGTACATGAAGTTGAAGAAACAACGAAAAAGCATTGTAATTTGTCTCTTTCCCTACAGCCACATCCATGGATTATTTATTTATTTCAACACATAAACATTGGTTCAAGGACACACCAAAAATATATGCTCCACACTTCGTCATCCGATTTGTGAGGGCTGGAATAGTGCCTGTGTGCCCAAGCGGAAGCAGATGATTTTCTTAGACAACCACTCCCCGAGCCTTTAACCTAGAAGTCTAGTTCACAAGGCACTGGAGCAACGTTAGGAAATGTAGTTTCATGTTAGCCGATGATCGACAATAGGTTTATATGCCATTTGTTCCATCAGGATCCTGGAGCCCATGTACACCATAGGTTTGGAATCAGGGTTTTCCAACTCACCCAGGTGAATTCTCTGTATCTAACAATCCGGTTAAAGCGCCGGAAATTGGCTTTTCGCTCTTTAAATTTCTTAAACAACACTCACCATCAGAAGGCAGTGGGTAGGAATAGTTGTTAAATTAACTATCCATCAGTGAGGACCAAGTTGTTTGTAATGAGGTTCGAATTACAAGGGAGTTTTAATCAATAAACCTTTATTTTCATGGCGAGTCAATAATTAGCTTTAGTTACCTCGCTCAACTAATTGAACAAGTATGGATAAGCTTGTTATTCGTTTAACTCAAAAATACTTTATGATTTCCTTATATGATATATCTGCTACTGGAACGATTGCTGGTGACTTCTTATATTGTTTTTTATCCTCAGACTACTCCGCTTGAACTAAACATTGTCGAAAGGCATTAAGTAAGGATAAGAGCGTTTACTGTTAATTTACGTGCCAAAAGAAAGCTTATTTATACGTTTATGAATAGCAGTCCACTCAAAACATGAATTTTCTTTAGATGTTTCTAGGAATTTTCTACTTAGTGCTGATCGGATAGTGTTTTCAGTCTTTCTGAGCCTCTACAAGCTTTATTGATATATTCCTAAGAGCTCCCAATACTATACTTCTAATAAGTGTCTTCTATGTTACGTAATAAAATCATATTTCCCAGTATTCTGGAAAACCCCGTTCTAACAAATAATATACTCTTCACTGATTAATAGTTCATTTATTAAGATTTCTATCTAGATTCACGTTTTAAATTAACTAAATTTATTAGTTTTTCTGTAGGTGGAGAGAAAATGAAGAAATCTTGTGAACTTATTATATTTTAAAAACAATTTTGTTGTTTTTCAAGGAGTTTTGTTCTCTGAGCTGGATGATTTTGCTCAGAGAACAAAAATCCATCAAAATCATCCACCTGAGCTACAAATCTTCTGCACCATATCACTTTTATTGTTTTTTAGATTTGTAAAGAGCTCTAAATGGATCACTATGAATTATATTAAATCAATAAATAATGATTAAAACTATAATAGGGCGTATGAAATAGTAAAAGTAACAAGTTTCCACGCTACAAGTGGTTTAAGAAAAAATCAGAAATAACTATTACTATTGTACTTTTGAATCGAAAATAGAGTGTTCTCGATCACTTATTCAGTCATTTATAAACAATGCATCACAAATGTATATCGACTCACGTTGCTAATCCTCTTCAGTACAGGTAAAAGAAATTAATTAGAAATATATTAAGGGATTTTAAATAACTATATCACTGGCAATAAAAAGTTAAACGTAGTAAGTATGATTCGTATAGAATGAATGAAATACAGGAATAAAACGAAATCTTCACTTTTGTTTCTACCTAAAACTTTTACAAACCTCATAATAATGAACTTTTTGAGGATTTTCATATCAGCGTTTTGATCACGGATTTTCATCGGATGAAAAAAATACCCAGCTTCAATCAATTCAAGGTATTACGCGATAACAATTATTCAATGTTATAGGTGATATCTACCTCAGTTCAAATATGGTTGAATGAATTTTGAAATGTTAACGATTGAACTCCAAATAAGTGGTTCGTATATATCGTTCTGATTACGAAGCCTGAAATTTCGTGCATTAGGTTTTGTGTAGAGCAGTGTGTAGACTTTGTCGAGGGTAAAACAGATTCTTAGTGCTAAATCTTTTTTAAGCTTTCCCAGCTTCCCTAAATGCGTGATGAAAACTTAGTTAAGGATTAATAGTCTCCACGAAATCCCATCTCCGTAATTACGTATGCACTGCTTTTTAGTCAGTCTACTGGTATTAGTGTTTCGCATTTTAGTTAGACATTTTCGATTCCACCTGTAGTAAAAATGGAAGTATATTTTATTAAGGCGTTTTTGTTGTAGTGAATAAAGTCTTTTAAACCTTAGGTATTACGGTTTCAATGTGGGTTTCTTAAAAACAGTAGAGTGGTACAAATAACTGTAAATGCTGGACCAAATAGTCCTAGTACAGTACATTACACTTAACCGACTGTGATCAGAGATAATAGAAATTTGTAGTTAAAACATATAACTTAAGTTGGAAGCAATCGTTCTTTTCAGAAGTTCATAAAAAGATTTCTTAAATAAATCACTTTAAGTAAGGGCGAAACGGCCATCGAGTGCTTCCAGGTTTTCAATGATGGTCTAATATTGATCGGTTCATTCTCAATGAAAACTCAACAACCTCCACAACTCTACTGATCGTTAGGTAAGATACTCAAGTTTGTATAATTTTGTCATATTTTCATATACTTGTTTGCACATAATATTTGAATGGCTTTTACGCTTTGTAATATCAGGTTTGAATATAGCCGATCCTCGAAATAACAATCCAAACCTAGTCTTCTTCTCCATAATTCACGAAGCCACATCCATTTTTCACTTTTTTGAGAAAACAGTTGATGAGTCCATTTTACCAATGATTATGTGAGTATTTTCTGAATAACTTTTTGTGCCACTAAAGTACATAAATTCAGTTTTTGAAAGTATGAGTCTTTTTAGTTGACTATGACCTAATAACCTATCTTTTTCTAATACTGTTTAAATTTTGTGAACATTTATATTTTCTTGTTGTTGATACTCGAGTCTACAATTGATTAGTTGCTATTGGCTTATGAACACCCCTAGAAAATGTAATACTATGGGACGAAATGTGCGTTTCTGAATTCCATTACCTACCTCGAAACTTTGTATCATACTTAGAAATGTTGTCCACGAATATGTTACAATTATGGATGGGAATATTTGAAATATTTAATATTTTTATCTTCCTGTATTATTTTGACTTAATTAGATCAGCTCACAGTTTAACGCTCAACTATGTATAGTTTAAGATGCGATTTACTACGAAATCAATTTTGGCATAATATTCTCATTGTCAGGACATTGTTATCCCCAAGAGTCGAGTATTATTTCAGTTGAATTCAGTGGCATTCTGACACTGTTTATCTAAGTTGAATGGTTTATTTTGACCTGATGACTGGAACAACAAAAACCTTAAAATGTTTAGTAAACCAGAGACTAGAATTGATTGACTAAAAAGAAACTTAATTACTTACTCCACTTGCCCCTCATAAGAGCGTAGACCGATGACCACGGTTCTCCTGGGCTCTCCTTTCTAGTTGTTCCCAGTTGCTGTTCATTTCTTTGATGTCTACCACCGATTCCGGACGCAATGTGTACTTGGGTCCTCCTCTTTGCCTTTTACCTTAAGGATTCCAAGTAAGGACTAACCTCATCATGTAGTCTGATTATTTCTGCGATGCGTGTCCTATCCGCCTCCTAATTTCCTCTTCATCTGAAAGTTGGTTTGTTTTCTGTCGAAGTAGGTTGTTACTGATGTTATCCGACCAACAGAACTAGAGTATGTTGCATAGATAATTGTGCATAAATACCTGTACATTTCTGATAATGGTTGTAGTGGTTCTCTACGCTTCAGTTCCGTACAGTAAATCTGTTTTAATGTTTGTATTGGGATTTCTCACTTTGGTGTTTTGTGACAGTTGTTTTAAGTCCTATGTTGATGTGTGGGCGAAGAAAACGGTGATTATTTTTTGTCTAGTCAAACTTGTAGATAGTTTGACAGGCTTTAGATGTGTTAAATATTTTCCTACCCTTGTTATTATTATTTTCAGTTGACGTGGAAATATACCCACGTTTTAGTCATGCTCGTCACGTGTTTTTAATCCGACCTGTGTTGACGATTTTCTCAGCTACTCACTCTATAGTGTCGAAGATGGTTCCATAAGGTTCTCCTATTCACGGTGTCAAATGCTTTCTCATAGTCACGGAAGTAGATGTATAGTGACGAGTTCTTTTCAATTTATTGTTCACAATGATTCGTAGTGTCGCGATTTGGTGTGTACGCAACCGGTCCCTACGGAATCCGGTCTGTCGATTTCAAAGCTGATCGTTTACTAAATCATCCGGTTCAACAACACTGTTAAAAAAATTTTCTAACACTAACAGTAGTGTGATGCCTCTGTAGTTTTCACATTTGTTCAGATCTCCTTTATTTGATATTTTGATGAGATGTCCTTCTTCCCAGTCTGTCTTCATTTGTGCTCCCTCCCAAATCTTCCTGAATAGAACACGAAGCATGTTTGCAGTTGTTTCTATGTATGACTTGAGTGGGTCGGCTGGTATGTTGTCTGGTTAAACGTCTGCTTTCCAACTGTTGATTTGTCTGATGACCATCCTGATTACTTCGATCGTTGCCGGAGCAACATCTATAGAGTGGTCTGTGCACGCTGCTTCGATGTCCATTGGGTTGTGTGAGGTTGGTCTATTCTTTAGTTCCTCAGTGTCCCACCCATCTGTTCTCGAATCTCAGTGATTGACCTACCTTATTTGTCCTTGATCGGTACCTCTGGTTTACTATATTTCCCTGTTGGTTTCTTCGTCGTGTCATATAGTTGTTTCATATTTCCTTCTCTTGCAGCTTTTTCCGCTGTCGGTGCTAGCTGTTCCACGTATTTCTGCTTGTCGGTTCTAATACTGCTCTTCACTTTCTTGTTTGCTTTAGTGTATTCAGTTTGTGCCTTGACTTTCACTGTTGAAAACTTTTCCTGGTACCGGTAGTAGTGTGATGTTCTTGTAGTTCTCATACTTATTCTTCCCTCTCTGTTTTGAAGGATGCTTTGATGATTCTAGAATCATGAGTTTCCCATCCTATTAGCACTTTTCACGCTTCTTTGGAGAATATCAATGCAATTCCTTTCGTATGCGGGGTATTTTCTTCATCACTGGAATACAACATCATTTCTCCCAAAGCTATTGTTTTCTGTCCAGCTTGCATGAAGTGGGTTTCATTTAAACCAAGCACCACCAGGTTCTATCTCCTCATTTCCGCTTCTATTTGAATAGCCTTTCCGATCTCCCACTGTATGTGAACATTCCGTGTGCTGATGTTAGTTCTTGCTCTGCATCGGCCACGTGATTTCTGAAGAATCTCGGCTTTCATTATGAGGCATCATAACTCTTCTAAATAAAGACCCTTCAACTCTCAGGACTCCGAGAGTGACCTCTCGAAGCTAGTCACTAGTGAGTAAATGAAGTTAGGCGTTAGCACTGTTGGATTCAGGCCCAGTGGTCTAGAGGTTAAGCCTTCACATGCGAATCTGAAGGTCCTGATTTCGAATCCTGCATGTAGGATTGTGTGTGCGTACCGCTGAGGAGTCCCATACTAGGAAGAAACGAAGTCCAGTGCTTCCAGTTTTTCTTTTTCATCTTATTATTATTAGTAGTAGTGTGTCTTGTTAATATCATTTACGTGTTATGTTGTACAATAACAATTTCCTTGGAACAAGATATTTGTGTTTAATTTTTAAATTAGATCCCTTGAAAAATTAGATGCAATTAATATTATGTATATTTCAGTACAAACCCGTCATATGCAAGTGAAGTATCTGTCAAACGTAACGAATTGAAACAAGATTTGGAAGTCAAATTCTGTACTGGCTTAGAAAAGTGTCTAAATCTGGCTATTTCTCGTGTCCAATATCTATTATCCAGTGAACAGCGAAAAACTGATTTTCGCCCAGATATAAATGCTAACTCAGGAATAATTGCCGGTAATCCACCATCGCTTGTAAGTTTCCTGGCTAGTAGTTTGTTTACGAATTATTCTAAGCAATATTTAACTAAGTTTTCTGCTGTTTCACTTTCCACTTAATGATGAGTATTTGACTCATAAAATCCGATCAAAATACGCCTTATTATAATTTACTTTGTCATCAATATTAGTTTGGAGACAAATTTGAAGGTGTGCTGTAATGTCCTGTATCTTTTCACAGAAATAGTATATTGTTATCTCGTGTTTATTTGCAGAATATAATAAAAATCTCAAGACTGATCCGCTCCTGTATCTCCATTCATCTTCAGGGGCAAATCTAGAATCATCTACAAGTCTTTGTCGCTTGTTCGTTGAATGATTGAGGTTATACTAAATGTTTCCAGCCATTACTGTAGATGTAGCTTCAGCTCTCTAAGTTGTTTGCTGGTGTTTAACTGAAGATCCCTCTTTAGATAGTAAAAGTTTGAGGATAATCTTTTAGTTTGAGTCATACTTTATTCTCCTTAGAAACATTCATTACATCGCCCCCTACAATGTCCCAGAACACTGGGACATTTATTGAAAACTCAAAATCATATTTCTTATTATCAGGGCCGCCTTCGATTTGTTGAACAAGACTTGTCTGAAATTATCTTTTGTGGCAGTGTGTGCCCGATAAGTTTATTGATATCCTAACACCTCTCCGCTGTTCCACTCCGCCAGTGTAGTTACATAAAGTTGTTTAAAGTTGCCACTCTTTCTCAACTTTACCTTTGATAGCATTCTGGAAACGGCTGTGATGGAATTTGGTAATAGTGATGTGGGTATGTTACTTGGAGAAATTTTCCGACTTCGAATATGCGGATGGTGCTATACAATTATGCTTAAGGTATCTTGATCGTACTTGATCGGATGACTATTGGTCTACGTAAGCATGGCATGTATTCTGCACCTTCAGCTTGCAAAACTGTCAGAATACTGTGTCTGTACCAGTTCTTTGTAGTGATCCTTTAGAAGTAGACTAAAAGTGTGGATATCTAGGTAGTTATACGTATGCTAGTGTTGACATGACAGATGAATCTAGTCTATGTATAGTGGAAATCACAGCACTTTATGTCAATCTGGACTATCTTTGGAGTTGCTGTGTTAGTTTAACTGTAGGAGGTCGTGTATAAAGGACATCAGTAAGGACAGTTCTGCTCTGTTTATCAAAGTGGTCTTGAGTGCTGTCAGAAGTATGAGGGCGGTTATCATTTCACGATTGCACACACCGTAGAAGGGTTCTTCTGGAGGTACCTTAAAAGGAAATTGGATTAGAGGTGATCTTAGTTATTATTTTTTTTAACACATAGATATTGGTACAAGAAGGCACCAAATACATATGCGCCACACAGATCTCATTCGGTATATGAGAGGGCTGTGATACTGCCCGGGTGCCCAAACCGAAGCAGGTGGTTTTCCTAGAGGGCCACACCCGGAGCCTTCGACCGGAAGGTCTGATACACAAGGCAGTGGAGCAACGCAAATAGATGCATTCCCATGGTAGCCGGCGACCAACGATTGGTTCATACGCCATTTGTTCCTTCAGGACACGAGCCCATGTGCACCATTGGTTTGGAATCAGAGTTTTCCAACCCCCCTAGGTGGACTCTCCATGTCCACCAACACGGTTAAAGCGCTGGACAGTGAGTAGGACTTTCCTGGCAGAGGCTATATACGCGTGGCCATGTGAGAGCATTTCGAGAGGGAGAGCGGACTCTCCCCACTCTCGGCCGTACCAGGGCATTTGGGGGCATGACACGGAACAACTGCTTGAGGTCAGTCACACACAACCTTTCTGTGAGCGATTTTCGTGTTAGCTCTGTACCTGTTGAGATCTTATCGCCGGAGACGGATATCCGTGGGATAAGGCGAGGTGTACGTTTTTAGGGTCAACCTATTCTAACCCCATCGCTCTTTGTGGGAAGGCGGCATCGTTGTCATGCTGGTTTTCTGAAGAAAACATATTACTGCTGTCACACCTCTGTACAGTCAGCAGTACGACTTCGCCTTCGGACCTTGGGTTTGCTGCTTTTAGTCTTACCGCTCTTCAACTGACCTGTCTGACATGGTAGGACCTAGAGGTATGGTTGTTCCAGCCAGTATAGCTCGGTTGCTTCATCACGATAGGCAAGCCCGACCACCACATCAAGGTAGCAACAACGGCCTGGTCCTACGTTGTAACTGACTGACTGGTGCTTATCAAAGCTAACTCCTCTTAGATGGGGATATCTGATTATTGTTGTCTTTAAGGTGTTCTTCACATCCGATAAGATCAATTTTTAGCAGTCCCGAGGTCAGGTAACGCATGTTCGTGTGCAGTGATGGTCATTCATTTGATGCCAACATGTTAAGAAACTCACTTCGGAGGATTGGATATATTTTACGAACATTATCCCTGCGACCCCTCACCACCACATTCTGCTCGTTGACCCTAGGACGCTTTGAAAAAGGTGGTTAGTTTATGACATGTTGCCATATTATCGAAGAAAGGCGTGTGGGGCTGGTATCTGTTCGTCCCATCACGACTCTCTTTTCGAGGTCCTAGAGATGGTGCAACTCAGTGGATTGGGACATTGTCAGATATGACTTGGAAAAGAATTTGTGGAAAAGACACGGACTTCAATGAAATCTTGGATCAATTTAGTTATTGTCACCACTCAATTAAATTGACACTAAAAGCAGAGACTAACGCGGAACCTCAGTTTTCCTGCTGTCTTGTTGAAAAAAGGCCAGATAGTTCCTTACGAAAATGTACATGTAGAAAACCGACCTCGAGTGGTTAATATACTAGTTTCTTTAGTTGGGTTCCATTAAGTAGAAGGAGAAACTTAATCCAATTATCCTCGAGGGCTAGGCGAGTATAATATCATAGCAAAATAGATGATGAACTACTCCAAATTCGATAGATACTCATCAGATATAGCTATCCACATAGATTCATTGCTAGAAACTTAACACCAAGCTACCGATAGTTCTAAGAAAATGTTTTATCAATATCGAATTCAGGTGATATATAGTTCCTGAAATCTTGGATAAACGGATTTCAAAAGTCCCTTAATAAAACCTATCCAGCCAAGCTTCGTATTGCCTTCTCAAGTAGCCCTATCATTCCCTGACGTATTAAGGATAAACTCCGGCTTTGGGCCATACCGGTGTGCATCTATAAATTTACTGGCTTTTGTGAGGCCGGTTACACTGGGCGCACAAAGCATACACGTCTCAGAACATTACCTGTCTTAGTTTTTAAAAGGGGAATGAAAAGCTGCCACTTGTTCGATAAAGGAGCACCTGATCGACCCTAGTTATGTCGCTCTAGAGGAGTCGTCCCTTAAAATAATACATACATTTGAGAGGAGTCGAATCAAAAACATGTAATGTTGAGGCGCTGGTAATCCACAAATTTAAGTTCGAACTCTGCTTGCAAAAACGATGCTCCCAACCTCTCATCCTTTCTTGGCTCTGATTTCTTTTTCCAGTGTGTTTTAGCTTTGTTTTTATTCCTAATTTTTAAACCGTAATCAGTTATTACTATCCTCTAACAATTTTCCATGATTATTATCTATTAAGTGAACAATTACCTCTTATGTTTCTGATCCGTAAATTATTTTCATCCTCCTATTCTTCTTCTTCAATCTATTGATCATTACTCAACCCTGTGTAATATTTGAAATCTCGGATCACTTTATAATTCGATCTCTTCTATCCCTCTATAGACTCATATATTTATCAAACAACTGTAAATATGAATGTACAGCTTAATTAGATGACTTCATCGAAAAGAATTTTATTTTTACTCGGTAACTCAATCGGTTACTTTAATTATGTGAGTATTTTAATTAAGTATTAAATTTGTTCACCTATCAGCTGATTGTACGATTTTTTCCTATTTCGCCATAATGTTATTACTTCGTTTGCGTGGCGTACTTTTCAAGTCCCCTATTTTACTAGAATTCGGATGTGCTATAAATCTCTCCATATCTAGTTAAAGAACCGAACGTGGTGTTCTCTCCTTGTTGGCTTGTTTTTTTACGGACCCTTTTTATCCCATAGCTTGTATCAATCCGAAAAACTACGATTTGTTGCTAAATGTTATTTTTCTTAACAATATACTAGGCATGTCAACATGTGGTTGCTTTCGTAACCCACATCAACCGTGAGACTCATCAACACCTAGATGGTCAAAATTTAAAAACATTTCTACATGAATTTGGGATGAAACTAAATCGCACATTGGTAGATCATTTTTATAACTTTACCTTCTCTGACACAGGTAAATATTCATTCTTGCTATAGAATCCTTTTTCTCTTCTAAATTAATCCGAAAAATTCAATGAGATAGTCTCGTATTTCTAAAGAGTAAGCAGTCTGCTGTGTATTTTATTCGGGTGCATAAGAAAAATGAATTTTTCAGAACAAATAAAGTTCGAAACTTGATGAAATGGAGGTTTTCTTTTAAATTGGAGTACATGGTTCACAATTTCAAGAAACTTTATGTAGAAAAATGTTCATCGAACGTACTCGGATCGAAATTGAGTGTTAACGCTTAGTTTAATATATACGATTTCTTCCTCTTAACTTTAGAAAATACTAAGCTACGAAGTTATGCTGTAGTTTATTCAGTTTCGTTCAATTTTTATTACGCTATATATATAAATACTTTAATTTGATATATAACCATGTCCAGTTCCTTGTTGTTTGAATGGAAGCAAGGCAATGTTTCTTTAAGAGATGGGGTTTCTATTCCTTTCAATCTATTGTGGCGGCCCGATGATCTGACTCCATTCAGAGTGTATAAATGTTTGCTATCACCTATTCTCGTATATCATCGTCGACTTAGATCGCGTTATCCAATAACGGAATTAAATAAGTCGAATAACGAGAATTGACGTGACAATACATATATTTCGTACATAAAGTGAATGAAACAGAGCCAAGCAAAATGACGCACAGGGAAGATGGCTGGGAAGCCAACTCCATTTCAAGCTAGGCATTACTTAATATTTATAGGCGGACAAAATAAACGACAGACATGTGATAAGTCACGGGACATGAAATGTACACACATACGCTCATATGAAAACAGTCAGGGCTAATAAGCGAATAATTAACAAGGTCAAAATATAACTCAAATAAAATGAATTAAATAGGATGTCCACAAGTTAGAATAAGGTAGATGGGCTTGCCATAATAACTGACACTACACTATATTGATTAACGTAATTACTACATCTGCGACTATTCAAAAGTAGTAATCATTATTATTAGAACTGGTTACTCTAAGAAACTATATATATATATATACTTACTTACGCCTGTTACTCCTCGTGAAGGAGCATAGGCCGATCACCAGCATTCTCCATCCAACCCTATCCTGGGCAATCCTTTCCAGTTGTTATTCATCCTATCCATATCTGCTTCTATTTCCTGACGTAATGTGTTCTTTGGCCTTCCTCTGTTCCGTTCCCCTCGTGATGCAGTTTGACGATTTGCGTAATGTATGTCCTATCCATATCCATCATCTTTTCCTAATTTCCTCTTCAGCTGAAAGCTGGTTTGTTTTCTCCCACAGAAGGCTGTTGCTGATGGTATCCGGCCGATGGATGTTGAGTATCTTGCGAAGACAACTATTTATAAATACTTGTACCTTCTTGATGGTGGTTGTTGTAGTTCTCCGAGTTTCAGCTCCATACAATAAAACTGTCTTGATGTTCGTATTGAAGATTCTCACTTTGATATTGGTTGAAAGTTGTTTTGAGTTCCATATGTTCTTCAACTGTAGGAATGCTGTCCTTGCTTTGCCAATCCTTGCCTTTACGTCTGCATCTGAACCTCCTTGTTCATCGATGATGCTTCCCAGGTATGTGAAGGATTCTACATTTTCCAGAGTTTCGCCATCAAGAGTGATTGGATTGCTGTTCTCTGTTTTGAATTTGAGGACCTTGGTTTTCCCCTTGTGTATGTTGAGGTCTACTGATGCAGAGACTACTGCTACACTGGCTGTTTTTACCTGCATCTGTTCGTGTATATGCGATAGGATGGCTAGGTCATCTGCGAAGTCCAAATCGTCTAATTGGTTATTAGCTATCCATTGTATGCCATGTTTTCTCTCAGATGTCGAGGTCTTCATAATCCAGTTGACCACCAGAATAAAGAGGAAGGGAGAGAGTAGACAGCCTTGTCTGACTCCGGTCCCTTCAGGATTCCAAGTTAATGCTTGCCTCGTGATGCAGTTCGGTGGTTTTTGCAATGTGTGTTCTATCCACTTTCAGTGTCTTTTTTTAATTTCCTTTTCAGCTAGTTTGTTCTCTCCCACAGTTGATTGTTGCTGATGTTTTCCGGCCAACAAACATTGAATATATTTTGTAGACGATTGTTTAGAAATGCCTGTACGTTCTCGCCCTCAAATTCCCTCGTACGTCCGAGGTTGAGTAGAGTCCGCTCACCCTCTCGAAACGCTCTCACATAGCCACACGTATACAGCCACTATCAGAGGGGATGTTGCTTACGAAATGGAGAGGATGAAAAGCGAATGTCTGGCGGTTTAACCGGGCCAGTGCACACGGGAGATCCACTTAGGGAATTTGGAAAGCCATTTCGTTGAATGCATATATATTTGTAAATGTCACCATTCTCGTTTCTTTCTCCTTGTCCATGTCGTCCCATAATAGCTTCATGCGCGATGTTGTCCATTCTGACACTGGCGTTTAGGTCTTCCCATCGGGATGGTCATGTTTTTTTGTGGGCGCTTCACTATAATCGACTGCATTCTTAAGTAGAACTGATCTTTATCATCGTTATTGCTATTATTTGGTGGGTGCAAAACATTTGTTGTGATCTCCTCCTTTGTTTTGAACAATGTTGTGATGATTTTGGATCCCTGAGATTCCCACTTCATGAGTGCTTTACGTGCATCTTTCGACAGCATCAGGGTAACTCCCTGAGTGTGTGAAGTATTTTATTCTTCATAACCAGAGTACAGCAGCGTCGTCTCTCCTGGAATTTATTTTTTTCTATCCAGCTTGGGTCCAATGGGTTTCGCTGATTCAGAGAAACGCCAAGTTGTATCTCCTTATATCCCTAACTATTTTATTGATCTCCCCGATTGTCCGAGCGTTCCATGTACTAATAATAGTTGTTCTGGTTGTTAGAAGGGACATCGATCTCGTGACTTCCGGAGGATTTCAGCTTTCACCACGTGGCGTCATAATTCTGAGTGAGAAACCTTCAACTCTGAGAGCAGATTTCTTTAATCTGGTTGTTTTCTACAGGATTGGGTTGCTCACCCTACGCCCAACCCTCTTCCTTTGTCTGGGCTTGGGACCGGCAGTAACTTAAGAAGAGATATATGCGGAGTTATATATAGTAACATTGTTTTCGATTACTCAGTTGAACAGATATAGATTGTAACTACACGATTTATATCAGATTACAAGAGGGATGACGAATCATAGAGAATGGCTAATTAGGAAAGGTACACGTCCCTTTTTGGAATAAATTTTACCTACAGCGTATCCTTAGTTCTCTCTCAGATTATCAATTCTACGAAATATTTATCAATACATTTATTAGCTGATCAGAATTTGAGTAGCTGGTGCATTACGACTTTCAGATTGTGTGGAGCCATAAACTATGGCTCAGATTATCATGATCTGGTGTAATTCTTAAATTTTTAGTACCATACACTGTAAAACTTTGTCTGTCGAGAACTCTGGTGTCAGTCAGGCATCTGAAACATAGGACCAGACATATATATGCGTCGGTCCAAGTTGCTACACCTCATTAGCACAAGATGAACAGCAAATTCTTAGTAGTTAATTCAATGGTAGTAATATATAAAAGAAAGATTGCACATAAGAATATGATACGGGGAGAAAGAATTAGTTTGTAGAAAGAGAGGTATAAAGCAGTTTTAATCTGTATATACTTACACCGTTGTGGTCGATCCTGATCTATGTCATCCAGTCGCGCGGACCCCAATCAGGTAATCTTCATTTGCCAACATGGCTAAGACGAGAAGTTAGTGACTTCAATCTGCTGTCAGATACATATATATGTCAAGGAATTTAAAAAATCTATGAAACGTGGTCTATTTAATTGATGAGAAAGTTTGTGCTTCAAAGTTTATTTTCCAGAAACGGCGAAAACCGCACGTATCTTTGTTATATACAAGCACTATATGCTTAGTCTTGCATGAAAGTCTTCAAAGTTAGGTTGTGCAACAAATCAACTCAGGTCTGCACTTTTCGTAAATCCAGCAGTTTACAGAACCTTACATGTAATCAAACATCAGTATAGCATTTAATATGAATTACAGCTACCACCAAGTGTAGCTAAGCAGCTTAATCAGAGATACATTGTTCAGCACTTTATATTTAGCATTCGAACATCTGACCTAAAGTAAGCTAATTTGTCAAGTTTTGGAGTGTCCAAACATAACAGTGAATTACAATTTTGAAATTTACCTCTGCATCAAGGCATATTACTCGCCTACTTATTCATTTACGGTAGTTTATTTTTCAGTTATTCTCTAAAATAGCTGTTGTCATTTTATACAAGTTGTGAACTAAATTGTCATTTTTCAGGTGGATTTGTTGCAATGCAAGATGTAACCGCCTACCGAGAAACCGCAAAGCATTTTGAGAGTCCAACTGTTAATGTTGTTTTCGATGTACTGTTTAAGCTGATGAATCTCATGTTGATTAAGCCAGAAAACGTACAACAAGTTGTTCAAGATTATTTGCAGTCAGGAATGCCAAGAGATTTGTTGATGAACTTCATTCAACTCAGAACAGATTATAAGTCAGCGAAGCTACAAAATGTGATACAGTTCAAATCAACAAGATAATTTTTTCATTTATTTATTATTCGTGTTCTTCAAGTACTCCATAATTTCTTCATTACTTGCACCATTTTTAAACATTTCAGTTATTTTTTGTGAATATCTGTTATTAAATAAAACTTCAGCTGTTAGTGGTCCTTCCTCAACTAGCTTTGATTTCCATGAAACGTAAGGTTTTAGTTCACATTTGTCTAAGTTATTAGGTACAATAAAATCCAGGTACATTTCAGGAAAAACAATTTTTTGACCATATATTTCCATGGATGTTGTTGGTTCCCTGAAAACTAAAATTAAGAAGTTAAGATATCGTACCTGGGAATCCAAGGGTACTTTGCACGAGCTTTGCTTTTTTTTAAGTCTAACATCCAGTGGTATCTTGTCTTAAAAGCAATTTTCTGGCGAGACCTTAAAGGTCCCATTGCTACATTGATAGTTCTTATTGATTGTGATTTGTTAGAAATCAAAGAACTTTGGATCAACCTTGTACACTGCATTACCTAGGGAATCATGGTATAAAATCTGTAAGATGATTGTAAGCTAAGATGCTACATAATTGCTATTACATAATAAAACACTTTGGAGTCACACCCCTGAACACGAAGCTATTCGATAATTAAGTTGTCATAATAGATCACGCTTGACTAGTTTATATCTTGTGGCTTATCACTAGATATTCATGTCCAAATAAAATCGAGTCTTTTCGAAACTATAATACAGTTTAGTCACACACGGTCAGTCAATAATGACATAGGACTTGTCGCAAATTTGTATCACTCCAAGATGCCACATTTTATCACAGAGAGGAAACTACCAAGATTATAATCATAAGTGAATGACAATAGAAAACTAGAAGTTCATTAAAAACAATAAGGAATAACCCACGAGAAAATTCATGGGATGGTATACCAGATTTGTAAGATATGCAGTAAATACAACTGCATCACTATAATCAGTTTTGAACCCGGACCTAACAATAGATCGTGCCCATTGGACGGATAGTGATCAAGAAGCCTACTCATTTCGACAAACAGTAAGTAGCTTCATATGTCGATCTAGTGTTTTGGTCTGCATGTTTTTGCTTTTCTCAATGTTACTTAGCATTTTAAGTCCGGTTAGGAGATATTGAGGCTAAGGTTAGGGTGCTGTGCAAAATTTCAACCCGCCCAGGTGTTTGAGGTATGTACTACGTGCGCCAATTTGAAGTGATAAAAATTCATGATAGGTTCTAGTTCGCAACATACCAGAGAATGATTTATTCACTACCTAAAAGTGTAGAAGTACTGTTCGGCAATCCAAAAGAATTTCTTACAAGCAGCAAAGAGGAATTAAACGGGATTGGTCTCTGTACTGTATAAACTTACGTGTTTGAATAAAAAGTATTGTGGGCTGAAAGTCCGATACCAATCAGGAAAACAAAAACTTCACAAACCGATAACAGTAACTGGAAAATAATGGACAGTACGCTGCTACATTATTTTTTTTCTTGGGCTCTAGGGGCCGGATAGCACTGGCGCCCATCTGGTTGACTTTGAGTAGCTTTACAAAGTACGTGAATATCATCGAAGGGATAATATACGATATAAAGATTTCGTTTGACTTAAATATTATGAAAGTCATAATTCCGAATTTTAAGCAAAACTAAAGGCTTTCTGTATTAATGATTACCTAACAAAACAAGTTGAGTAGTACAGACGATTTGCAAAGACCTAACATCTACAGTCTCAAGGACGTATATCAAATACGACATTGGTAATAACCAACTGCAACAAGTGGCTTTTTTCGAACTGCGAGAACAGTAGCACTTGACGCCGGATTAAATAAATCGCCGCAGTCCGTTGAGAACGACAGGTTAGCAAATATTTTATGATGTACTGTGACGCCGAGTGCGACGTCAACAAACTTTCTCTTACAAAAACAGAATTCTGACTAAATACAGGCAGGAATCTTATTGTACGTGGCGTAGCTGCTCTTTTAAAACTTTATTTTAAATGTCAGTCAACCACACTGGTAAAGTAGAAAGATAAAGCACTTAGCCCAACCAATGAATCCGATTCCAAACAGGATCTGCCGGACCATTAAGAATCAAGAATAACTCTGGAGATTCCAAACAGCACGCTTTGAAAAATCCCATTATAATCGGGTTGGAAACCAGCAACTTGTGAACAGAACTTTTAAATCGGTTTAAAATTAGTAGAGAATCACTTGTTACGAGAAGATAAAACGAAGTCCATGCACGATGGAAAGTGTTTATTTGCAATACATTTACCAAAGCGTTTGGTATTGTCACGAATTTACGTTGCTTATAAGAGCTTAGAAATCTAATGCAGAGGATCAGTCCAATCATCGGTTAGTAACAAATAAGTAACTTTAAGTTTCCTTGGAATTTGTACGAAGTCGATTAAGATAGTTCAGCAAGAGTGTGTTACATAGAATATAGAGTTTGATGGATCGTAACAAGAATTTCCGGCAATCAGAAACTGTGCTATCTCGACTGATTGGTCGATCGACGCGGATGGATTGATCGAAGATGAATGGAATAAGTCTAAGGCTACATTCGAGTCCGTAACGTCGCCGTTTATCCCATGGTCAGCACGTAAGCTATCACATCGCCCTTCACGGATTAACAAGGAAACCCGGAAGCTGTTAAAGCATAGGAAACATCTCTGGAACTTATTCTTGTTGACAGGTCATGCACCATTTAAGCGTGAGTACCAAAAATACCGTAATATCTGTAAGAAAACCATAGCTAAATCCCGTGCCACTTATGAACGACAGTTAGTATATGATAGCCGTACTTGTCCGAAACGATTGTTTTCGTATGTTAAACGGCAAATGAAACGTAGTGATGGTATTCTTTCGTTACTGTTACACGAAAATTCAGAATTACTAGCTGAATCAGATCGAGCAAAAGCTGAGACTTTTTCAGACTACTTTAGCGAAGTCTTCTCTACGTTTATTGTAACAAATACTTGTCCCACTCACACCGAGATACCAACCATTGAATCTGTACAGGTGACTGAGGAAACTGTCCTTCCGTTGATAACTAACCTCAAACCTGGTAAGACACCGGGCCCTGACGGGTTACATCCACGGTTGCTGTCATCTCTTGCGGACATTATTTCAAAACCGCTTGCGACACTCTTCAACATGTCCCTCTCACTCGCTCAACTCCCTAGAGATTGGAAGGACGCTATAGTTAGTCCTATATTTAAGGACGGTCAGCGACAGATAGTATCTAACTACCGGCCTGTCAGTCTAACTAGCATAGTCGTTAAGTTACTCGAAAAGATAATTCGGGTTAGGTTGCTAAGCCACATAGATTTACACAATCTGTTAGCTCCTGAGCAACACGGATTTCGTAACAAGCGTTCATGCTTGACTAACTTGCTCATAGCGAGAGAGGATTGGACAGCATCCCTAGATAACGGTCTGTCTGTTGATGTGGTATTCATAGATTTTAGCAAAGCATTTGACAAGGTTTCACATATAGGTCTTATGCAGAAGCTCACGAGCTTCGGAATAATAGGTGCTGTACATGAGTGGATATGAAACTTCTTATGTGACCGCAGACAGAGAGTGAGGGTCAACGGAACGCGATCCGATTGGAATCCGGTCAAAAGTGGTGTACCCCAAGGCACCATCTTAGGCCCTCTGCTCTTCCTTCTCTACGTTAATGATTTACCGCTGTTACTTAGGTCGTCGACACTATTGTTTGCGGATGATGTAAAAATCTGGAGAACAATAAAAAGTGCGGCTGATCATCTGAATCTTCAAGCTGACTTAGACGATTCAGTTAGATGGACTCGAGAGTGGGGCTTAGAAATCAATGCTAGGAAGAGTGTGCTAATGCACATCGGTCACGGTAATAGTTACCGTTATACTATTGAGGGTAAACCTCTTCCATGCGTTCAAGAGCATAAAGACTTAGGAGTAGTAATAAGTCATGATTTAAAAACAACTACATATTGTAAAGCAGCCGCTGTCAAAAGTTTTCGTGCGTTATGGTTACTTCGCCGAGCGTTCAAATCTTTTGACGAGGAAACCTTTCGAATTTTATATCCCATATATGTAAGACCACATTTAGAGTATTGTATCCAAGCAGCTAGCCCGTGTCTGGTAAAGGATACTAACTCCCTTGAGCGTGTCCAGCCCGTGGGAATGAAATTAGTGAAGGGTCTTTCTAGACTCCCTTACGATGAACGTTTAAAACGCCTAAATTTTTTCCCTTTGTCGGATCGTAGGACGCGACGTGACCTTATACTGGCATTTCGTATCTTTAATTATAATTTGGGTGTTAACATATCTGATCTTTTAGCTTCCTTTAGAACTAATAATCTCCGAGGTCATAGCAAGAAGGCTCATAAGCCACGATCTAATAAACTTAAAGTGGGGTCCCGTTTTTCTCATCGAGTAGTCAATCATTGGAACGCCTTACCCGAACAAGTGGTATCAGCCCCATTAGTGAATACTTTCAAGAAGTTAGACCTTCACTGGAAAGCAATGTGTCAGGATTAATACAGGTTCTTCAACCTACTATCCTTATTACTGAAGACTTAATTTCAAAAACAGCTGGTAGCTGGCAATATGTCACGATCAGAATTTTCTACGTTTTCTTAGATGCAGAAAAGTGACAGGAAGAACAAGACAGGAGTAGAGAAACAACTATGCGCGGTTATCAGAATGACAAGAAATTTACTAGCTTCTCAACGAAAAACATCAGGAAACAAATAAAAAATATAATGGTCGATAGGATTTGGGAATTTTTCAAAGTAGACTGAATATCTTTGAGGTGGCACAATATTTTAAGAGCGAGAAAATTTTTCAACAGCGCCTCGTGGATATTTCTATAAAATTCACTCACCATTATGACTACAAGCCAAAAATTCTTAGTAGACGGGTTTGAAAAATTTAAACGTCAGATCACCGATGCTTGTTTCTTGATGCAAGTAATAACTACAACTCCAAATCTTAACGCTTAATATTGACTAGAATTTTTACCCTAATCC